TTTAATGGTGCCAAACACTAGCTATGGAAAGCAATTCAAAAGCTGGAAGACATGCAGCAAGTTCACAACATTAACCATATCAACTCCAGGTGATCAAAACCACTAATCCAGCCATAAAGCATAAAAGGCTGTAAAATCCATTGAGAAACCTAAGGAAAAGTAGTTAATGTTCTGTTTTAGAGACTTAAAATGGCAATACTGAGTAGCTATAGTAATTACAGTTGCAGTGAGCTGATTGTGAAGAGAATCCCACTTGTTTTAGAGTCTCCAGATAGTTTACATATGGTCATAGTTTCACACCTGTTCTGATAATTCAGCAACCTTAATGTAAAGCATTAGCAGAGTGTTTAGAAGCCTTAAGGAGAGTCATGTTCAAAGCCTGTAATGTGACATGAGACAGGGAGTTCATTTCTGCCCTGGTGACTTAGCCCACCCGCTCTGCCACTCTTCACTACCGCCAAGTAGTACCGCTCTTGAAATGTCTGAAAAAACCTGCCCAAGCCCCCAGTGGACTAAATGACCATGGTTTCCTGAGCAGTATAATTTTACCCTTACAATCTGTCGTACTACTACTGTTACAATAATCATCAATGAGTTTCTCATTAATATCAGACTGAATTGGATTAGGTGGCAGTCTTTGGTTGTGCTGGTATCACAAGTGTCACTCAGATGAGAGCCTCCCTGCTGCAGGCACCACGCAAACACAGCAACAGATGCTTCCTGCTCCCTACCAGCCCATGCCCCCAGGACACTGCATGGCAAACTGAAGCATTCTCAAATGGGATCTGAGTAATTCTGTTCACTACACTTAATTTGATTGTTTGACCAGGTGCCTCATTTTGCCTCTCAAAGATAACAGTATATTCTCAAAATACTTCAATGAAAAGCACAGGAGTTGCATGCCTGGATCACTCAGACTTATCTGGGAAATGCACCTCATAGTGTACTGATGAAGCAGACCTTGGAGTGAAGTAGAAAACTCCAGCACGGAAATGTACCAATGTTAAGTATAAGGGAGCTCTGCTTGCAGAGCAGGATAGCAATAGCCAAATATAATGAATCCTTCAATTACTTTCCTTGTCTCCACTTACCTCCTTGCAGAGGGATGCTATTCCTAGTAGCTAAAAAGCATACATCATTCCCATGCCTGAGAGCTGCATGTGGTTGCTAGGTGGCAACACAGTTTTTAGATCATTATGTTAGTATTCCAGAGGGCTGCAAATATCTGTGTGCAAGAGCTGCTCATTAACTGGTAGCCCGTGAAGTTTCAAGGAATGTCTGTAGGATGGAAGTCCTCCTCCCTTCATCTTTCTCCAACTCGTGCTTCTGAATGCTTAAAAATACTTGGGAGGAGATTCTAAGTGCTGTAGTCCATGAAACTCCTTCTGGTATTATTTGACTTACACAACCAGTTGCCCTACACTGTATTCAGGAGATGGAGAATTAATCTGCAGAGACAGCAGGTGTTATGAGCCCCTTTTCTTTCCCTCATACCGGCAGGGACCATCTAAAGCCCTAAAGAAGTAGATCATACCAAGATCCAGTGAATGATAGCATCTAACAGATGTTTCATTTTCTGACAAGCTTAGCTGAAGCAGACCAGAAACATCTGATATTTGTATTTGAACAGCACACCAGAAAGTAGGAAGCTCAAAGAATCCCAATCAGCTCATATGCCTGGTAGTTCTGAATCAAGAACAAAGTGGATCTTCTGAACACATTTTGCCAGACACATATTAGCACCGACCTCAGTGTTATCCTGTAAAAAAACCCCAAAATAATCAAGAAGTGAAATTCTGAGCCACACCTGGCCCACAACAATACATTATCAAAATTCAGCATGAATTATAAGTCTTCAATGTAATGAAGACTAATACTTAAGGGGACAATCTTGCTCTAAAAGAGTCAGGGGGCACATGGGTTTTCAGGGCAAAGGTCCTATATATCCTACTAGAACTGTGTTAACTCAAACTTCCCTGTCCAACTCAAAGATGTATATGCTTGATGATGGTCAATCTGACTTTGGCTTTTAAAATCAGGCTATGGAATGAAACTGTTTAAGGACCAAAATCCTGTCCTTCAGAACAAAGCAGAGATGACTGGTAAAATCCAAGATGCTGTAAGAAATAATTTGGTGTCAATAGGACAATCAGATCAGCTCTGTGGCTGACAAAGTTTGGAAAATCGGAGAAAGGTTAAGATCTGTGGTCTGACTGACTTCCAAAATAAACTGCATCAGCAGCTCACATTACATGAAATGTAGCTACAATATTAGGTTTCATGCAGTTCCCTTATACTGAAAATACTATTTTCAGGAGTGATTATACATTTGGGAATACATATGGGGAAAATAAGACTGGTATTGTACAAAAAGCAAACCCCCAACCTTTATTTGTCACAATACATTTCAAGCACATGCAGAACGCATTTACATTTCTCTTTAAGGCAAACAGAAGTTGGGTTCTTACTCCTGAGTTGCTTAGCACCAGTAGAAACAGCAAATAAAAACTTAGGAAATGTTGTCTCTCCCTTTGAAGCTGCAGCTGCCTCCCATGCAAAATATTTCTGCTTTCACCTTGCATTTCTTTTAATGAGCTATTTATACTAATAATCTCTATTGCTCTTTGGAGCCGTTTCTGCAGATTTCAATCCCTTTGCAGAAACATCTTTCCAAGATGTGACAAACTTTCCATGTTTGTTATTTTACCTTACAGACTTTGCTGACTAGACAGCACAGGAATACTTCTGTCTTTGCTGGCACATGCATCAAGGTCGTCTCTTCAGTTATTTAAAGAGTTCTGTATTCCCCCAGTACCTAGAAAAACTAACATTACCTTCTTACGTCTTTCTCATGTGGGTTAGTCACTTCTCCAATACTAAATCAAGATTAAGAGGTGGAAAAGTCCACCTCAGCCAGTGGAGGGTTTTAGGGCTTGACTTCACTAAAACTGAAGGCGGCGGGGAAGTGAAAATGCCTGTTGAAGTATTGGCATTTCTGAAAAAAATGCAAAGCAGTTTTTCAATTAAAAAAAAAAATGCTTACTCAAAGTCTGACTAACATTTGAGCCATCTGCATTATCTCAAGACTTTAGATATTTTCTAGAATTTAGGATGTTGAAATTCCATTTAAAATACAGAGGGAGTATTGTCAAAGAAGTTTTGCCATTCTTCCATTTCCCATTAACTGGCTCTATTGAGCCCACTAATTCCAATAGGCACTGTTCTCCCATGACTTTTATGAGGACCACAGAACATGATCCTAAAAGAGAAGACATCTATTATGTAAAAATAAAGTTCCTATTTAATGTAAAAGTGTGCAGAAAGTCAAAAGTGCAAAACGGGGTATGACTTTTAAGTGTGCCTTCTTGAGTGACCTGTAGTGTTGAAAAGCGTTTTGTTTCAAATTACATTCTCTGGGGTTTTTTTTTAATGCATTCCTGAAAATATAGTTTTTAACGATTTGTCAAACACATCAGTAATTCAAGGTTTCTGTTACCATTTAGTCTCTCTAGGTGCCCATGTCAGCTAATCAATGCTCATCACAACTATTTTTTTAAAAAATGCTAGTAGTTACAGGTGTTTAAGTCAAACATTCTTTGAAAGAAGCAGAACTGTGCCTTGATTAAACTTCTGATTTAAATTGATTATTAAAGCAAATAATGCCAAACAATTTCTTACTTCTTTTCCAGTTATTATCTGCTACAATCAAATGTCTTCCTTCACAACTGTTTCACTTAGTAGCAACATAAAACAGCATATTGCATTGGGAATAATACACATCCAAATAGTAAAATAATACACATCCAAAGACATTAACTTTAACAAGGAGAAACAATCTCACAAAGAAGGTCTTCAAAGGTTTGCCAATTTCTTTTTCCTACCTCTGAGAGATTATTACAAACTAAGCACCTAGGAAAATACAATAAATGAACCCAGAGAGTAAGAAGAACTCATGAGGTGTCTAACCAATATCCCATCAGGAAGCTGAGTCCTTCTGGTAAGGCACCTCCCAACAGAAAGTCTGAGGGTTTTCTCCCCAAGTAAGATGAGTTCAAAAGGCTAAAAAAAGTAACAGCTGTTATTCTGCACCTGGCAACACCTCTGTACAGCTGTTATTCTGCACCTGGCAACACCTCTGTACACTGTGAACAAAACATCTTGCTGCAGGTATTCCCAATGAACAGCTGCAGCACAGCATTTTTATCCAAATTTTATTTTCTATAATGTTTACCCATGTGCAGCTTTATTTCTAAAATCAGCACCATTGATCCTACAACTAGTATGTCCTCTGAGAAGATGTACTTTCTCAGTGATCATTTCAATACTAAGGTACTAGAAAGCTCACAAAATTTTATAAAGTCTTAAGAATTTCTCCCTGGAAATCATTGATCCCTAGTCTATTACACAAAGAGACTGCACTGTATTCAGAGGAAAATACTGTACCTCCTGACAGTGACTGTTTATCCACTGACTGTTCACCTACTGCATTTGTGAACTCTCGTCCTGCTACGCTGGACACTTTGAAAAAATCTAGGACATAGACACTTCTCTGTTTCTTGCCTCTTGCTCAGATCCGTAAGAAATGGCTGGAGCTCAGGTTCTTCTCTCACATAGGACTGGGGACACAGGCATTTGTTCAGGCTGTGTCTCTACTACCTGCTGCACATCTTACCAAGGCAAAATATTCCAGAGGAAGTCACACGAATACTTCCTACATTCAAGACAGTTCAATGGCCTTGGAGAGCAATCATGGCACATCTCTGACATACTCTGTGTCTCAGCTTGCTTAGGGTAGTAACTTGTACTCTTCTAATCTCTGATTTGAAGAATTAGTTCTACCAGCTCTTTTGAGGATGGCACCAAGTTATCACAGTCTGAAACTTTCTGTTCAGAAGGAAGAAGTTGTAGGCAAGAATAGGTTTCTGGACAGATTTGAAATGCAACTCCCAAAGGCACCAGCTTCCACATGCAGAGTGAAAGACATTGCTCTTTCTTACAGTGCAGACGAAACAGTTTACATCCAGTTTATTTATAAAAGTTTTATACACCTGAAATATCACAAACATTTACAACTTTCCTGCTTTCTTCTGAGTTCTGAAAAGACTTGAGTCATACAATTACACCGCTGTCTCCTTTGACTCCAATGTTTGTGGCGGCTTGAAGTTCAGTATCTCTTTATATGTAATGCCTGGAAAAAAACAGAATAAACATAGCATTGTTGGTCTAACAAGAAAAGGAGCTGCACAGACATGAGCAAGGTCCAACCCCCAGTATGGTTAAGCTCTGATTTAGGTCAGGAAGAGAGAGACCTCTTCAGACAAAAAAAGAGAGAAAGAGTACAAAAAGTGAGGGAATCAAGGATCATTTTTTTCACCATTTCACCATTTCAGATTTGAAGAAGTAGCCCAATACTGAAATGTTACAGGTGCTTTCAAAGGGATGCGAGCATTGAGTGTGCAATATCCTCAGAAAGAGCTACTGAGCACATTGGCTTAAAAGTCAAGTCCTCACTTAAAAGACAAAATACAAACCTCTGACATTAGATGAAAATTGGATTCAGGCTTAAATGTCTGCTGAGATATGTTTTCTCTCCCTGAAAAAACCTATCTAACTTAAAATAAAGGCCAGCAACAGTCGTGTCGCACTCCTGTAGAACAAACAGTTGAGGAATCTGTTCACCTGTCCTATCCACTGGAAGCAACATGTTACAGAAATTATTTCTTTCCTACACTGCAGAAGATGGGAGAACAGGCCCACAGAGAAGGAGGAGGAAATGTCTGGGGATGGTTCCAGGAGGACTCGACAAGAGGAACACCAGCTTATCAATAGTGTTTCTCTATCTTACCACTGTCTACTTAACTCTGTTCCATCAAAAGCAGAAAAAGTAACTTGTAAATGAGAATATTACTATTTCTGGATGGCCTTTGTATCTGGTCATTTTTTAAAACATCACAAAACTAAACTCACGCTTCCACTCATCCAGTGGAAGATCCATGTTATCAAATGTGTCATCGTATTTCTCAGCTTCAATTTCTTCCTCAGGATCATGAATTGGTTCAAAGTAAGGATGCATCAAAGCCTCAGCTGCTGTGACTCGCTTCTCTGCATCCAGCACCAGCATCTTCTCCAAAAGGTTTACAGCTATTGAACAGAAAACAAATAGTGCATTGAAATCACACCACTGATTACAGCTTACACACAGTAACATTGCCCAGAAGGTATTTCAAATAAATACACAGAGCTACAAAGCAGAATCATTGGATGTTCATTCAATAGCCAGTGGGGCCCACCTGCATGACAAAATAGTGTTGTGAGCAAGCTGGGATGTGTACAAAGCCTGACGCAATGCAGAGACGCTTCCTTGTCCCTGGATGCAATACAGCCACATCACCTCAGCTAATGACTTCTCAGCTTCTGGCTCCAGGACCACTGCGCTTGGGGCTTTCCCAGGCATCTTTCATCACTGCCACCATGTTGTGGTTCTAAGGTACATTACAACCTGACCGCAGCAGAATGAACAGGCGGGGTAGAGCTAATGAGAACCGTTCTCTCCATGACCAAATCCAAGCCTAAGTACACTTTGAATTTCACTAAGACAAATCAGTTGCCCACGCCCAGAATCTCAGCACTGACTTTATGTGCTACGTCTTTTTGACTTCAGCCCAAAAAATCCATGAAAATCTCCAGTGGATTTTGGATCAGGTCCACTGTTAGACTGTCAAAATGGGCTAGTGTAAACAGATAAGATGAATGATTTGTTTATTCTCTGTTTTTCTGTCCTGAAAGAATGTTCCTGGGTTGGGTGGAGCAGCTCAAAGGAAAGAGGCAGCAATGTGGGACAGGATGGCACACTCCTGCCTGCCACGTTGTGGATTCTCTCCAACCTTCTCTCCCAGACCATGAGCAGTTATGCTCTACAAAAGGACCAGCCAGATGGCCACAGAGGTGATAGGAAGAAACATCCTAAAAACTAGATGGAAATGTGTAGTTTCCTGTAGCTGTGAAGGTCAGTGAGCTAACCAGGCAGCCAGGGCAAGAGCTGCTTATTAATCATGTTTATTTCTACTGTATCTGAACATACAATTTTAACTTCTTAAGTTGAGAAGATCCAATAATCCTAATTTATATTCCAATAAAACTGGCTTTGTGAGTGTTCAGGTCACTGGGGAACAGATAAGGTTCGGGCAGAACTATGTCAGACCTCTGAATGCCTCCGGTTATGTCACAGTTATGCACACTTGGTATGCTCTTCTGGCTCTTTGTATCTGCCAAATCCAAGCCAGTGCTTCTCAGGAATGCACAGATGTTTCTCAGGATATATTAATTCCATGACTAAAATGTCAGCTTTCTATTTGCTTGCATTTCAACTGTAGATCAGATTGAGCTTTCAGAATTATATTTCAAATACAATACAGAGAAAAATGTAGTATATATATTTAGTCTCTCAGGGCTCTTGAGAAAGCTGCTCCAGTAAAACCATTAAGCAGATGCTGGATCAAAGCCTGAAACACAAAATAGTTGTTTTTTGATGCTTCTAAGAAACATCTGACTCCTAGCAGGGTCCAAACTTGTCAAAGTTCAGCCACTACAATCAAAGTTATGAATTATGAAAACAGAAAACCATGAGAGCCATCACATAACCTGTCACATGACTGATACTGCTGCTGCCTCCAATGCAGACACAAGAACAAGACAAACTCTACACATCCACACAAACTGTCTTACCCAAAGGATTCGCATACTTCAAGATGGATGCAAAATCTTTTTTCTGGACTTTTGGGAGGCTTTTGATATAGTTCTTTGCCTTAAAAGAAACATGGATATTAAAATAGACCTTTGGTGCCTTTGTAATGTGACAACACTAACTATATGCTAATAGGTAAATCAGCAATGCTTTAATAGCACATTGTGCAAATTAATTTTTTGCGGGGTCATAAATCCTGATTATATTCACCTTCTTCTTGAAAGGAACTTTTTTTTTTTAATCAAGCCTTAAAACTGTGATTAAGAAATGATAAAGTGTTAATTATTAGTGCTCCATATTTAATATTTTATTTAGAATAAATAAGTATGCATAATTTGAAAGAATATCATGTTGAGCTTACAGGAATCTCTAGAAGTGAACCTTATATGGTAATTAATTAGTATTTAAATTGTACAGTTAGTCTAATGTACAATTTTAGGTTCTCTTTAGTAGGGGCTTAAGCATTCTAGAAGGACATTCACATAAGAATAGGAAAGAAAAAGTCAGAGACATCTACAAACAGCTGGATTTTCTGAATAGGTTCATGTTTTTGGTACATTTCCAATAAAAGCAGTAATTCATCAGCTCAACTGTTTATATGGTACACACTGGAAACTTTGAAGTATTTCTATATACAGATTTTTTAAGTGTTTTGATCATTTTCTGACCCATCCTTAATCTTGAATAGCTATTCTGGGTGTGCAAAGCACTTCAGAGCAGAGGTAGACCATCAGGGGTCATTTCAGTAGTCTATACATATTATTTCAGCCAGTCTTAAGAACTAAGCATGGTGTAAGTAAAACAAAGACATGTAAAATCAATAGACAAAGCAGAATACTCACATCTTGACTGTGCAGTTTTTGAACAAAATCTTGAGTTGGTGTACCTGTTATTTTCATTATTTCTGTGAGCTGGTCCAGATCTGAATACCAGAAATAAGGAATAAAGTACTTCACCATAAGAAAACTAAGCACCCTGCAGAGATTGTGCATTTCTTCACTATTGGAGAACAAAGCAAAAATCACAATGCAATGACTAAACAGAGGATTTATAAAAGATGAGATGAAAGGTCTCAATTTTTCTTGCAAAAGGCAAAGACACTGAAAGCACCTGAAATAAAATATCTTATTACTTGGGAACACATAACTGAATCATCTGCAAACTTCTCTAATGTCATCAGGCCTCTTCTATATTTTTGGTCAAAATCAGTCCAAAAGTATTGGAGCAGCTGAACAATCAACACATGTACTGCATGCACTGCCCTGGTCTATCCAATACTGAGGCCACATAGAGGAAGGGAAAATCACAGGGAACATCAGGTGGTACGATACACAGAACAAAAATCTGAGGAAACCAGTCAGTGTTAATTCTTCTCTACAGAGAGAAACTTCAAGAGGAAAAAAATAATCCCTCTCCTCCTCATTTCCCACATGCTTAGCTTGATTCCAGATGCTGAGATGTTGGAGACATCGGAGTGAGGCATTGGAACGCTCCCTCATCTACTGTGTCCTATACCAGCACAGATTAGTCATCAACAATATTAGCTGTTTCAAAGATGAAACACCATGTTTACAAGAGGCTAATGTTGCAGACAACAGCTTTGTGACTTCTCTGCTACTCCGGTAAGAGCAGCAGATGAGAAACTCTAAGCTAGATCAGAGCTCAGGGTGATTCCAACAACCTCTGCAGAAAAAGGCAATGGTGGGTAATGCTGATGAAATAAATAAACAAAATCCCATGCCAAGTTTGCACAATAACCTATTCATAATAGGTTATCGTGCAAAAGTTAAGATTCAGAAAGCAAAACCCCCTTCATTTAGCTGTTTTCTTATTCACCTACCCACAGCTGCATTTCCCTGACAATAGGTAATACTGATTCATATACTCAAAGGCCAGCAAGGGCTATTATGCTGGGGTAATTTCCTTTGTAACACACAATGTAGAACTTCAGCCAACAGTCTGAAAATCTCCAAAACCCAGTATGACTAAAAAACTAGCTTTTTCACTCTTACACTTACAGTGCAACTTGAAAATTATGACTCATTCATTTCCTTATTTATGTACCTGAATGCGAAAGGTCAGCATTAGTTGAGAAATGCCACATGTTAGTCTACAGCAGTTGTGTGGCAGGCATTTTAGTATTCTCTTGTTAAGAACCAATGCGTACTTAAAATTTGTAGAGCTGAAATACTATTCTACTTTTCCATAGTCCTTGTCATTTTTTTCGGGTGAATGCAATCTTCCTCTTTTATGTTTTTCCTCACAAAACGAGAACAAAATGATGCATGCAATGAAGTCCTAATCTCACATATAAGTACTTAAATAGAAATATAACTAAAATTAAACAATTGTGATTCTGTAAACAAATATTTGGAGATAAATGATTTATTGACTGGAACTTCACAGGGTATTGTGGTTTTGTGGGGGGGGGGTTTGTCTGGT